CTCCTCTTCTTCCTCCCCCTCCCCCCTCTCCCTCCGCTCCGGTCCTCTGGATAGCAGGTGACTCACACCTGAGCACTTCACACTTCCTGGGAGAGGACTTGTCTAAATTCGGCACAAGTCTGATCTGTAGAATATCTTTAAAATGTTTTGCATGTAGGGTTGGAAAAATGTATTCCTTCCAATTCACAGAGTGATAAGCTGTAGTTCGGGGGGAAGGGGCAGGAGGTCTCTGGATTCAGGTGTCGGTCCCATCAGTGAAGCCTCTTGCTATATGACTTTGGATGAGTTAGGACATCTCTGAGCCTGTTTCCTCACCTGTGAAATGGGGTGGTATCACCACACCACAGCCCTCCCCCACTTCCTGGATAAGCACCCATGAGGTCAGGGCCAGGCTGAACACCTCATCCCAACGCTGTCCACACGGGCGGGCCGGGCGGAGAGGGAAGGTGCCAGCGGTTGGAGACAGCCCTAGAGCGGGGCTCCAGCAGATGTGGAGAAGGTTCTGAAACACATTGAGGGTCAAAGGTCTCACTTCAAGAGGATCCGAGAATTCCCTGAGGGGCTGCAAGAGACCTCCTGACCCGGGCATTCCAGGGGCCCGGCTGGGCAGCTGCATTTTATTTTTATTTTTAAAAATATATATTGTTAATTTTTTACAGGGAGGAAGGGAGAGGGATAGAGCGTTAGAAACATCGATGAGAGAGAAACATCGATCAGCTGCCTCCTGCACACTCCCCAATGGGGATGTGCCCGCAACCAAGGTACATGCCCTTGACTGGAATCGAACCTTGGACCCTTGAGTCCGCAGGCTGACGCTCTATCCACTGAGCCAAACCGGTTAGGGCTGGGCGGCTGCTTTTTAATGTAAGCTCCCTGCCGACTGATGAGGGCAGGACACTTGAGTGACTCAGTCCTGAGGTGGAAAATTCAGATACTGCTGGCCGGGGCCCGGCAGGTGATGGAAATGTCTGGGCTGTTCAGGTGGGCCTCCTGGGGCCAGGCAGTCAGGTTTTCTAGAGAGGAAATCGAGGTTCCTGGGTGAACTTTCGCTCTTTTAAAATATCGGCCTGGCTGGTGTGATTCAGTGGTCGAGCATGGGTCTATGAACCAGGCAGAAGGCAACTCAGGGAGAGGGGCACCTCTCTCTCACATCCATGTCACTCTCCCCCTCTCCCTTCTTTCCTCTCTCTCTAAAATCAATGAAAACATTTAGAAAAAATTAGAATGTTGAGCAGGGCAAACAGCAAGGCATCCAGCTTGCATCCCCTGTCCCAGCGTCTCTATCCGGAAGGCTGTGACCTGGGAGACCAAACGAGGGGGCGATTAGATGAGGCGGGGACCCCGGGGATGGTTTTAGGGCTCGGCGAGTGAACGCTCTTGGAATGTCGGAGGCTGAGGTGGGTATTGATGGGTTGATGGGAGCAGAGCCCCCCTCCCTCTCCCCGCCCTTCCTCCTGGCTCTGAGTCTTCAGTAGCCCCTGCGCTGCTGACCTGCAGTGAGCGGCAGGGGGGCCAGCCTTTCCGAGGCCACGCCCAGAAGCAAGTGGCTACTTACCCTGCCTGAAAAGTTGGCCTTTCTCAAAGGTAAACACACTGCAAATGTTGCTGGTACTCTTCCTGGGTTTCAAGATTCCTTTCCTTATCGATTCTCAGGCAGGTGCAGATAACGTGCAGATAACGGGGCCTTAGGGTGGCCCCCTGATGAGAGTGTTAACGTAAAAAACCATTGAAACCTGTTAAGAATTTTTGTGAGTTTATTTGAGCCAAACTGCCGACATATGCCGGGAAGCAGAACCTCAACTAATTGAGATAGTGCTCCCGAGAATGGCGGGGTTACATCTGTATTTATACATTGCAATCCATTGCTTTAGTTAAAATTTAATTTCAGACCATCATTTATGGTGACTTTAGGTCTCTGAGTTTGTAAAACCACCACGCAGGCCTCCCCTGAGCTTGTCAGGTCAGCATGTGGCACCTTTAGTCCACAGGAGTGTGTGTGTGTGTGTGTGCATTCCACCGGCTTTGTGTGTAGAAAATGCCCCTGCTGTTCATTACGACGCCAGGCAGGCTCCTGGGAAGGCCGTCTAGGAAGGATGTCCGTGGAGTGAGCCCTGGTGGGTGCGAAATGGCCCGTTTGGTTCAGTGGACCAAAGGGTCTCTCTCGGGTTCGATTCCTGGTCAAGGGCACGTACCTCGGTTGCAGGTTCCCCAGCCTTGGGTGGGGGCTGTATGGGAGGCAACCAGTTGATGTCTCTCTCTCTTTCTCTCCCTCTCCGTCCTCCCTTTCATTTCTCTCCTCTCTTCCTTCCACTATCTCTAGAAATCAATGGAAGAAATATCCTCAGGTGAGGATTAAAAAAATAATAAAATTGGGGAAAGAAACAAAATACTGGTTGCTCATAAACACTTAGTGTTGTATGAGCCCAGTTCTCAGATCTGATGCACAGGTCTGTGTGTTTGTGCACCGACACGTGTGTGTACCCCCCTGTGTGTACATGCACACATGTTCCTGTGTGGGGAGGCAGGACAGGGTATTGGTTATGAGCTGGGACTTCCCCAGGGCTCTGTCACTTACTGATGACTCAGTGTCTGTGACGCGCCCCCTAGGGGTGGTTGTGAAGATGAAGGGCTGTGAGTGTTAAATCCTCGGCCTATGTTAGACATACGCTAAGTCTAGAAGGAGGAGAAGTGAGGTGGGGACAGTTTCACTTTCTTTTCTGTGCTGCTTGAGAATGTTTCAACAACGTCACGTGATGTATATCGAACATACTGCACCCGAGCCTACGGCTGCCCTAACAGATGAGCACAGGCTGTTTAGGCGGCGTGAGGGCACCAGGTGTCGGACCGGTGGGGTCACAGCAAACCTGGGTTCGGCAGCCTCGGTCCTGGGGTGCTGGCTGGGAAAGGGTTCAGAGCCAAGACCGGGACTGTAAGAGAACGTTTCTTCGGTAAATCACAGAGATAGAAGTAATTCCTAGAATAAATGGGCTTAGGCCCGGCCAGCGTGGCTCAGTGGTTGAGCGTCGTTCCATGAACCAGGAGGTCACAGCTCGGTTCCTGGTCAGGACACCTGCCCGGGTTGCAGACTTAATCCCCAGTAGGGGGCGTGCAGGAGGCAGCCGATCAATGATTCTCTCATCATTGATGTTTCTCTCTCTCTCCCCCCTCCATTTCTCTCTGAAATCAATAAAAATATTTTTTTCAAAAGGAAGTAGGTTGCCCTAATCGGTTTGGCTCAGTGGATAGAGCGTTGGCCTTCGGACTCAAGGGTCCCAGGTTTGATTCCAGTCAAGGGCATGTACTTTGGCTGCGGGCACATCCCCAGTAGGGGGCGTGCAGGAGGCAGCTGATCGATGCTTCTCTCTCATCTATGTTTCTAACTCTCTATCCCTCTCCCTTCCTCTCTGTAAAAAATCAATAAAATATATTTTAAAATTAAAAAAAGGAAGTAGTTTAGGAAGCAAGTTAAGAGGTAACGGAAGGGCCCTTGGAGCTTGGGAGTGAGGAGGTTAATGGTAACGCACCTGGGGGGTGGGAGGAGGAGGAAGAGGAAGAGGAAGGGGCGGGGAAAGGGGCAGGCGCAGCGTGCTTCCCAGAGGGAGCAGGAGAGCTCACGGGTCCTCCTCCGTCCTAAGAGGTTTTTTTTCTTTTTTTTTTGTTAAGCCTCACGTTAGGACATTTTTTTCAATTGATTTTCTAGAGAGAATGGGAGGGGGAGACACAAATGATGTGAGAGAGACACATCGACTGGTTGCCTCCCACACGCCCCCCAACCCGGCGCAGGATCAAGCCTGCAACCAAGGTACGTGCCCTTGACCGAAATGGAACCAGGGACCCTTCAGTCCGCAGGTCAACTCTCTAACCACTGAGCAAACCGGGTAGGGCCCCCCCTAAGGGTTTACGGGTGGCAGTTTTAGGGGAGATGCTAGAATATTCAGCAGCTTTCCAGGTGTGTCCTTTCAGGGTCTCGGTCGCTGATTGCTTGGCGTGCACCAGGCAGGGGGCCATCATTCCAGGCACCTGGCCCTGACGCCAGCCCCAGCTGAGGCTGGTTTTGGTGCTTATCTGGGCCTGGAGCTGACGTACAACTGAGGCCCAGATGTTCTCTAGGGAGGAAAGGTCCGGGGGCCTGGTCTGAACCCCGTGACCAGCGTTGGTAGGGGAGGAACGTCCCCCTGGGCAGGTCCCACCCTACAAGTGATTGTCGGTTGCTAGGCACCTGGGGCTTTCCACCCCGTGACCTTCTGTACCCGGCCCATCGTCCTTGCTCTGCTCACGTCTGTCTTGCTGCCTCCCACACAACCAGGTGCCATCAAACACTGAGGGTCCGGGTGGGGCAGGCCTTCGCTGGCCCCTAGCAAGGGGCCCTCTAGCATCAGTTTGATTGATGGCTGTATCGTGAGTGACGCAGTCTCTCTCCCTGCAGCTGGAGCCAGAGGGCCTGTTGGTGTGGGTCTTGGCGGGCGCCCTGGGCCTCAGCCTCGTCTACTCCCTGGTCGCAGTCCCGCTGCAGCGCTTCCAGCTGAGCAAGATCTACGGCGTCTGCCTGCTCCTCTTCTACGTGAGCTTCCTCGCCGTGGCCCTGCTCACCGAGTTTGGGGTGATTCACTTGGAAAGCGTGTGAGTGGAGCTGTGCGCCGGGCCCACCTGGTGGCCGGGAGGTGTCACTGCAGGCGGTGCGCTGGAAGATGGATGAGGATGGAGACCGAGGCGCCTTCTGTAGAGCCCGCGTGGGCCTGCGTGGCAGGCAGTGCGGTGTGGGCCGGATCGAGGGGTCGCTCGCCTTGCTAGAGGTTGCCAGGCACTCCTGTGTGCAGGGAGGAAGCCAAGCCTCCTTTCTGGGGCTGTGGAGACTGGACCTGACGGGGCGGACAGTCCCAGGCGGAAGGAAGGAGCCTTCCTTGAGTTATCGCGAGCCTCTCGAAGGTGGGGTGTAGGGGGTGACGGGGGGCCGTCCAGGCTGGTGTTGGAAGGATCGCGAAGTGTTCATGGCTGGAGGCGACTAAGAGCCCAGCCCCACCCGTGGGTGTCCCTGCCGCCCACCTGCATCGTCTCAGGGCTCACATGCTGCCAAACCCAGGCTTAGGGACTCGGGATGGTGGGGCCCGCGGACAGGGCGCCTGGGGTGCCGGGGCCCCGGGCCGTCATGGGCTGAGTCCTAGAGCTGCACCGTCCGGCAGAATGGGAATGAATTTTCTAGTCACCACGTTAGTAAAGCCTGAGGAAGCAGGTGAAGCAGGTGACGTTTTCACAGTGATGTGTTTTATTGAACCCAAAGGCTGCCACACAGACGGTACAGCTCTAGGCTCCACCTCCGGGACCACCCACTGGCTGCAGGCAGACTCCTGTGTCCTGCTCGTTGGGTTTTCCGGCTGCAAAGCCCTAGGGGATTTGTGCCTTGTGCCTACCTCAGGGGGACCCCTGGGCTGGGGTTCCCGTGCCCCCACATTCTGGGGAGGACCAGGCGCCCCCCCTCCCACGCCAGCACCGTCCTCCATCAGTGACCTGCGTCAATTAGCACCTGAAGCATTTGCCCCGTTGCCTTGTGCCGGCAGGAAAGGGGGTCAGCTGTCTTTTCTTCCAGAGAAAAGCTATTAAATATTTCAAGTTTGAAGGTTGAAGGTTCTTGGGCCTGATGTTTGGGCTTTGGGGCACATGTGGGGGTGGGGCTGGGGCTGAGCTGGGGTCGGGAAGGGGACCTCCCTGCATCCCCCACGATCGCAGAATGTCAATGTCAGGAGGCGGCAGCCACACTTACAAAGCAGAGGTGCTTTATTGATATGCCAGAAGCTGGAGACACCGTGGGTTTTCTAGGTAACAAATCGCCAACGTACAAAACCTTACAGGGCCGTTCCTGCTGGCCGTACAAAATGATTGTCGCGTGGTGTGGAGTAAGGCGGGGGTGGGGGGGCAAGGAGGGGCCATGACGGTCACCGACAGGTCACTTGACCCAGGCAGCTCCGTCTCAGCGTGGGGAGGGCGGGCGTCTGGGCTGGTGATGTCCCAGGTCCCGCAGAGCTCAGCCCTGGGACTCCTGCTCCCTGTGCCCGGGCGCAGGTTTGAGGACCAGCTTGACCAGGCCATGGAGACCCTGGGACAGCTGTCCTCAGCTTCAGTGCCCAAGGCGCCGACCAGTGACTGCACTAAGCAGGTCTAGACTAGACCCCGCCCTCCTGTGCCAGCCCTCACTGTGGGCCGCAGGCCCCTGCGGGCAGAGGAAGGGGTTAGGGTGAGGCCCGAGGCTCAGGTGGAGCCCTCCTGCTTCCGAAATGCCCGTTTCAGTACAAAAGCTACAAGGCACCCAGTTGTGCAAATAAGTTTCTTCTCTGGAGGTGGAGAGGTCCTGGCCCGGTGCCCAGCTGCCCGATGGCCCCCGACAGGCTACCAGCCTCCTGCCCCTTGTGGGGATCCCAGTGGTTTCCTGGTGTCCCCAAAGGGCTGTGCTTTAACAAAATGCCCACTCCTCTCCCCGGAAGGGCAGAGCTGCGCACTGTGGGTTACAGGGATCAACTGGGCCTTGGAGAGGGTGGTGGGTGCTGTACCCGGGGTCAGGCCTGCCCTGCTGGGAACCTCAGCCCACCCGCCCTCCTAAGCCACAGGAGGCTGTGGAGGCAGCTGAGAGTGGGGGCCGCCCCTGCCCCCCCACCCCTGCACCCCTCTGCCTCCAAGCTCCCTCCTCTGACCCTGCTGTGTCCTCACTGGGACTGCCAACCCCAACAGCCTGCTCCGATCCGAGCACCGAGGCACCCCACCCACTCTGACCTCAGCTCCCCAGGCACCAGGGGGATTCGGGGAGCCATGGGTTCACTCACACCCGCTTTGGCACCAGCCACGCCTCCCGGTGAGGCCCTGGTGCCCAGCAGCAGAGCTAATGCACAGTGTGAGGGGCTTGAGCAGAATCCTGAGGAGCCTGCACACCTTTCTGCCTGGACAGCCCGTCACAAGCAGGGGGAGGGGCCAGTGGAGAAAGCTGTTGCCGGGATGGGTCTGGGTGTAGCCCTCGGCCTCACCCCTGCTCCCCAGCCCCGTCCCCCTTCCGTGCTGGGCCTGGATTCCAGACGAGGCTGTTAGGATGTTCAGCAACCAGAGTGGAAACCTGACCAAAAGGGGGTGGGACAGGCTTAGAGCCAGGACTCGAGACGCGCCCGGCACTTGCCGCCCAGCACCGGCTGAGACCGGACCACGTGGTACAGTCACACCGATTCCACTTTCCATTCGGTCGTAGGCACAGGTCCCGAAGGACCGTCCTATTCCATTATCAGAGAGAAATACACACCCGGGGACGTGGGTTTTCTCCGTCGTAAGTGGTTTTGTCCCTAAAGCAAGACAGAAACCCGTGACGAGGCCGCAGCGGAAGTTAGTGGGGAAGCTGTCAGCTGGGACGTGAGCCTGAAAGCGTCAGGAAGACGTGGGTGTGAGTGTGGCCTGGGGAGGGCCGGCCCCCGTGAGGGCAGAGTCCATTCCAGCCACGTTCCTGGGAAGGGGCCTTCCTTCCAGCGCCTTCTGCCTGGCCGCGCCCCAGAGCAAACTGGCTTCTGGAGTTAAGGAAAACAGGGTGAGGTTACAAACCAAACCCCACCTTGTCTGCCTGTCTTTTCCGTTGTCTCTATAAATATGTGCATATATATGGACATGTGCATATGTGTATATACACATTATTTCGATACATCGTAGTAAAATAACGCTAGTGTGTTATTGCATAGAAGAGATGGCTTTTGGGAGTGAGCTGGCTTAGGTGATGGTCTGCGAGCGCTGGCGGCTGCCTGGGGGCTGCTGGGTGGCGGGGGCACCGCTGCCGTCAGACTGCTGCTCCTGCTGGCGGGTGTGTTCCTCGTACCACTCCTAGGGCACAGGGCAAAAGGGGGGGGAGGGGGGGTGAGTGGGCGGCACCCTCCCCCCCTGCCTCAACGGGGACCAGGGCCTCTTCCAGCTCCCGCAGCAGCACCGCTGTGAAAGCACTTCGAGGAAATTAAACAGCTCACCTGCCTCAGGCCATCGTGTGACATTTTCAGGGACAGGTATTCAGGTGATTAAGGAATTAAAAAACACCGTGTGTTTAGAATCTGAACCATAGAACTTAGAGCTTAAAAAACACCGAGAGGGCCTAGCTCTGTGCCCCCTCATCTCACGGAGGGGAAACCGAGGCCGGGGGTGGAGGGCAGCCCCGCACGCGGGCTCCGTGCCGTCACCTCTCACAGATGAGAAAGGGCCGACCTGCCCGCGGCAGAGCCAGCAATCCAGCCCGGGCTCCGGCACCAGAGCTCCCGCTGGTCCCCATCCGTGCCACCCGGTGCCCTGCAGCCTCCCAGTTTCGGGCGTGAGCGGGACTGGGTTCCCGCTGTGAGAACGCCAGGAAACAAGGCAGCTGCTGGAAGACCCTTCGGGACCCCCGGGGGAGGGGAGACCCCGGTGGAGGCGGCCAGCGGCTCTGTCCGGGACGCAGCATGTCGGCCACGTGGTGCTGGGTAAGATGTGTGCCTCAGCTGGCAGTGTGGGAAGATGGGGAGAGTTTGTAAAAAAACACAAAACAAAATTGACTTCTCCCTTCTCTTAAATTAGAAAAAACCTAAACAGTAAAAAAAAAAAAAAAAAAAAAAACACCCAGAGACCTGCTGGGCACAGCAGGCCTTACTCCTATGGGCAGTGCTGGCTGGGCCGGGAGAGGCCCCGTCCCCCTGGGCGGCGGGGCGGGCGCTCCTACCCGGATCTCCTCCTGGTACATCTTCAGGCTCAGGTCACTCTTGGTCCTGGATCTCCGTCCCAGGAACACCACGGTGCCTTGCTGTGGAAAAGCAGAGGCTGCAGGCCCCACCGTGCCAGGCCCGGGCACCCACCGCTCCCCTGGCTTTTGCTACGATGCCACCCAAAAGTGTCACCAAACCTTGAGGGGCTGGACGGTGGGGGTAGGACTCCACTCGGCTACAGCACCCTCCTCCCAGCCTGGTTTTCTGCCGGGATGGGGCGCTATCCTCACCTCGTTTCTCTCCATCTGGGAGAGGACCTTGAGCAGCTGGGGGATGTCCGCCGCCGCGCCCCGCGCCTCCCGGGACAGCTTGAGGACGGCGAGCAGCTCGTCCTTGGACAGTTCCTTCTCCACGGTGATGCCACCGTCAACTGCAGCGGGGGAGGGACCTGGGCTCAGGGGCCGCCTCCCCGCTGTCCCTACAGGGGTCCTAAGGTCCCTCCTGCCCCCCTCCTCACCCCCGCTGCTGTGGGTGTGCGGATTGATGGTCAGGCCAGCAGCTCACGGGACAGAGGCTTTTGGAGGCAGCCTCCAAGCAGAAAGAGAAGAGTTGGCCGGCCGGTGTGGCCCAGTGGTTTGGCCCGGACCCAGGAACCACAAGGTCTCTGATGCGATTCCCAGTGAAGGCACGTGCCCAGGTGTGCAGGAGGCAGCCAAGCAATGTCTCTCTCTCACTGATGTTTCTCTCTCTCCTTCTCCCTTCCTTTCTCACTAAAAATCTATTTAAAAACAACATGTTTTTAAAAAAGGGTCAGGCAGCCTGACAGGATAGACGTGGAAACAAGTAGTAACAGGTATGTGGCCCTTCTGAGGGAGAGTCTGGGAAGGATGGGGGTCAGTCTGCAGAGAGCTGCGCCACCTGGAGGTGCAAGGGGATGAGGAGCCGGGACCTCCCAGTGCAGGAGAGCTACAGCTCTGCAGGCTGCAGGGCTCCCGCCCGCTGGACGGCGGTGTGGAGTTTAGAAGCTGGAGACG